GTGGGGCTGTATGGTAAGGATGTGTTTGCTATGGTGCTGTATGCTAAGGATGTGTTTGATGTGGGGCTGTATGGTAAGGATGTGTTTGCTATGGTGCTGTATGCTAAGGATGTGTTTGATGTGGGGCTGTATGGTAAGGATGTGTTTGCTATGGTGCTGTATGCTAAGGATGTGTTTGATGTGGGGCTGTATGGTAAGGATGTGTTTGCTATGGTGCTGTATGCTAAGGATGTGTTTGATGTGGGGCTGTATGGTAAGGATGTGTTTGCTATGGTGCTGTATGCTAAGGATGTGTTTGATGTGGGGCTGTATGGTAAGGATGTGTTTGCTATGGTGCTGTATGCTAAGGATGTGTTTGATGTGGGGCTGTATGGTAAGGATGTGTTTGCTATGGTGCTGTATGCTAAGGATGTGTTTGATGTGGGGCTGTATGGTAAGGATGTGTTTGCTATGGTGCTGTATGCTAAGGATGTGTTTGATGTGGGGCTGTATGGTAAGGATGTGTTTGCTATGGTGCTGTATGCTAAGGATGTGTTTGATGTGGGGCTGTATGGTAAGGATGTGTTTGCTATGGTGCTGTATGCTAAGGATGTGTTTGATGTGGGGCTGTATGGTAAGGATGTGTTTGCTATGGTGCTGTATGCTAAGGATGTGTTTGATGTGGGGCTGTATGGTAAGGATGTGTTTGCTATGGTGCTGTATGCTAAGGATGTGTTTGATGTGGGGCTGTATGGTAAGGATGTGTTTGCTATGGTGCTGTATGCTAAGGATGTGTTTGATGTGGGGCTGTATGGTAAGGATGTGTTTGCTATGGTGCTGTATGCTAAGGATGTGTTTGATGTGGGGCTGTATGGTAAGGATGTGTTTGCTATGGTGCTGTATGCTAAGGATGTGTTTGATGTGGGGCTGTATGGTAAGGATGTGTTTGCTATGGTGCTGTATGCTAAGGATGTGTTTGATGTGGGGCTGTATGGTAAGGATGTGTTTGCTATGGTGCTGTATGCTAAGGATGTGTTTGATGTGGGGCTGTATGGTAAGGATGTGTTTGCTATGGTGCTGTATGCTAAGGATGTGTTTGATGTGGGGCTGTATGGTAAGGATGTGTTTGCTATGGTGCTGTATGCTAAGGATGTGTTTGATGTGGGGCTGTATGGTAAGGATGTGTTTGCTATGGTGCTGTATGCTAAGGATGTGTTTGATGTGGGGCTGTATGGTAAGGATGTGTTTGCTATGGTGCTGTATGCTAAGGATGTGTTTGATGTGGGGCTGTATGGTAAGGATGTGTTTGCTATGGTGCTGTATGCTAAGGATGTGTTTGATGTGGGGCTGTATGGTAAGGATGTGTTTGCTATGGTGCTGTATGCTAAGGATGTGTTTGATGTGGGGCTGTATGGTAAGGATGTGTTTGCTATGGTGCTGTATGCTAAGGATGTGTTTGATGTGGGGCTGTATGGTAAGGATGTGTTTGCTATGGTGCTGTATGCTAAGGATGTGTTTGATGTGGGGCTGTATGGTAAGGATGTGTTTGCTATGGTGCTGTATGCTAAGGATGTGTTTGATGTGGGGCTGTATGGTAAGGATGTGTTTGCTATGGTGCTGTATGCTAAGGATGTGTTTGATGTGGGGCTGTATGGTAAGGATGTGTTTGCTATGGTGCTGTATGCTAAGGATGTGTTTGATGTGGGGCTGTATGGTAAGGATGTGTTTGCTATGGTGCTGTATGCTAAGGATGTGTTTGATGTGGGGCTGTATGGTAAGGATGTGTTTGCTATGGTGCTGTATGCTAAGGATGTGTTTGATGTGGGGCTGTATGGTAAGGATGTGTTTGCTATGGTGCTGTATGCTAAGGATGTGTTTGATGTGGGGCTGTATGGTAAGGATGTGTTTGCTATGGTGCTGTATGCTAAGGATGTGTTTGATGTGGGGCTGTATGGTAAGGATGTGTTTGCTATGGTGCTGTATGCTAAGGATGTGTTTGATGTGGGGCTGTATGGTAAGGATGTGTTTGCTATGGTGCTGTATGCTAAGGATGTGTTTGATGTGGGGCTGTATGGTAAGGATGTGTTTGCTATGGTGCTGTATGCTAAGGATGTGTTTGATGTGGGGCTGTATGGTAAGGATGTGTTTGCTATGGTGCTGTATGCTAAGGATGTGTTTGATGTGGGGCTGTATGGTAAGGATGTGTTTGCTATGGTGCTGTATGCTAAGGATGTGTTTGATGTGGGGCTGTATGGTAAGGATGTGTTTGCTATGGTGCTGTATGCTAAGGATGTGTTTGATGTGGGGCTGTATGGTAAGGATGTGTTTGCTATGGTGCTGTATGCTAAGGATGTGTTTGATGTGGGGCTGTATGGTAAGGATGTGTTTGCTATGGTGCTGTATGCTAAGGATGTGTTTGATGTGGGGCTGTATGGTAAGGATGTGTTTGCTATGGTGCTGTATGCTAAGGATGTGTTTGATGTGGGGCTGTATGGTAAGGATGTGTTTGCTATGGTGCTGTATGCTAAGGATGTGTTTGATGTGGGGCTGTATGGTAAGGATGTGTTTGCTATGGTGCTGTATGCTAAGGATGTGTTTGATGTGGGGCTGTATGGTAAGGATGTGTTTGCTATGGTGCTGTATGCTAAGGATGTGTTTGATGTGGGGCTGTATGGTAAGGATGTGTTTGCTATGGTGCTGTATGCTAAGGATGTGTTTGATGTGGGGCTGTATGGTAAGGATGTGTTTGCTATGGTGCTGTATGCTAAGGATGTGTTTGATGTGGGGCTGTATGGTAAGGATGTGTTTGCTATGGTGCTGTATGCTAAGGATGTGTTTGATGTGGGGCTGTATGGTAAGGATGTGTTTGCTATGGTGCTGTATGCTAAGGATGTGTTTGATGTGGGGCTGTATGGTAAGGATGTGTTTGCTATGGTGCTGTATGCTAAGGATGTGTTTGATGTGGGGCTGTATGGTAAGGATGTGTTTGCTATGGTGCTGTATGCTAAGGATGTGTTTGATGTGGGGCTGTATGGTAAGGATGTGTTTGCTATGGTGCTGTATGCTAAGGATGTGTTTGATGTGGGGCTGTATGGTAAGGATGTGTTTGCTATGGTGCTGTATGCTAAGGATGTGTTTGATGTGGGGCTGTATGGTAAGGATGTGTTTGCTATGGTGCTGTATGCTAAGGATGTGTTTGATGTGGGGCTGTATGGTAAGGATGTGTTTGCTATGGTGCTGTATGCTAAGGATGTGTTTGATGTGGGGCTGTATGGTAAGGATGTGTTTGCTATGGTGCTGTATGCTAAGGATGTGTTTGATGTGGGGCTGTATGGTAAGGATGTGTTTGCTATGGTGCTGTATGCTAAGGATGTGTTTGATGTGGTGCTGTATGGTAAGGATGTGTTTGTTGTGTTTGTTATGGTGCTGTATGGTAAGGATGTGTTTGTTGTGTTTGATATGATGCTGTATGGTAAGGATGTGTTTGATGTGGTGCTGTATGCTCAAGGATGTGTTTGCTGTGTTTGATATGGTGCTGTATGGTAAGGATGTGTTTGTTGTGTTTGATATGGTGCTGTATAATAAGGATGTGTTTGTTGTGTTGTATATGGGGCTGTATAATAAGGATGTGTTTGATGTGTTTGATGTGGTGCTGTATGGTAAGGATGTGTTTGATGTGGTGCTGTATGGTAAGGATGTGTTTGATATGGTGCTGTATGGTAAGGATGTGTTTGTTGTATTTGATACGGTGCTGTATGGTAAAGATGTGTTTGTTATGTTTGATATGGTGCTGTATAATAAGGATGTGTTTGTTGTGTTGTATATGGTGCTGTATGGTAAGGATGTGTTTGATATGGTGCTGTATGGTAAAGGATGTGTTTGATGTGGTGCTGTATGGTAAGGATGTGTTTGATGTGGTGCTGTATGGTAAGGATGTGTTTGATGTGGTGCTGTATGGTGAGGATGTGTTTGATGTGGTGCTGTATGGTAAGGATATGTTTGATATGGTGTTGTATAATAAGGATGTGTTTGTTGTGTTGTATATGGTGCTGTATTGTAAGGATGTGTTTGATATGGTGCTGTATGGTAAGGATGTGTTTGATGTGGTGCTGTATGGTAAAGATGTGTTTGTTGTGTTTGATATAGTGCTGTATGGTAAGGATGTGTTTGATATGGTGCTGTATGGTAAGGATGTGTTTGATGTGGTGCTGTATGGTAAGGATGTATTTGATGTGGTGCTGTATGCTCAAGGATGTGTTTGTTGTGTTTGATATGGTGCTGTATGGTAAGGATGTGTTTGATATGGTGCTGTATGGTAAGGAAGTGTTTGATGTGTTTGATATGGTGCTGTATGGTAAAGATGTGTTTGTTGTGTTTGATATGGTGCTGTATAATATGGATGTGTTTGTTGTGTTTGTGATGGTTCTGTATAATAAGGATGTGTTTGTTGTGTTGTATATGGTGCTGTATGGTAATGATGTGTTTGATATGGTGCTGTATGGTAAGGATATGTTTGTTGTGTTTGATATGGTGCTCTATGGTACGGAAGTGTTTGATGTGTTTGATATGGTGCTGTATGGTAAAGATGTGTTTGTTGTGTTTGATATGGTGCTGTATGGTAAGGATGTGTTTGATGTGGTGCTGTATGCTCAAGGATGTGTTTGTTGTGTTTGATATGGTGCTGTATGGTAAGTATGTGTTTGATATGGTGCTGTATGGTAATGATGTCTGATGTGGTGCTGTATGGTAAGGATGTGTTTGATATGGTGCTGTATTGTAAGGATGTGTTTGATGTGTTTGATATGGTGCTGTATAGTAAGGATGTGTTTGATGTGGTGCTGTATGGTAAGGATGTGTTTGATATGGTGCTGTATGGTAAGGATGTGTTTGTTGTGTTTGATATGGTGCTGTATGGTAAGGATGTGTTTGTTGTGTTTGATATGGTGCTGTATGGTAAGGATGTGTTTGTTGTGTTTGATATGGTGCTGTATGGTAAGGATGTGTTTGTTGTTGTGCTGTAGCTCAGGGTTCGTGGGATGCCGCTGTTCTGTGGTCGTATCTCACCTCTCTGCACGATGGTGTCCGAGCCTCGGCGTGGGTTTGCAGCTCGACCACGGCTGACATCCCCCGCTGGCCTGTGCTCGCACCGCACGTCATCAACCACAGCAGCCGCTGCGGACGGTACCTGCGTGATCAGATCCTGGCCCTGCTCGCCAGGTCAGAGCCGCTCAGATTCACACCAAATACAAACACATCCAGAGGAGACTGGAAGCATGTTTAGTGTGTGTGACCCTGGACCACAAAACCAGTCACAAGGGTCAATTACTCGAAATTGAGATTTATGCATCATCTGAAAGCTGAATAGATAATCTTTCCATTTATGTATTGTTTGTTAGGACAATATTTGGTCGAGATACAACTATTTGAAAATCTGGAATCTGAGGGTGCAAAAAAAATCAAAATATTGAGAAAATCATCTTTAAAGTTGTCCAAATTAAGTTCTTAGCAATGCATATTAATAATCAAAAATTAAGTTTTGATATATTTACGGTAGGAAATTTCCAAAATATCTGCATGGAACATGATCTTTACTTTAATATCCTGATGATTTTTGGCATAAAACAAAAATCAATAATTTTGACTCATACAATGTATTGTTGGCTATTGCTACAAATATACCTTATGACTGCTTTTGTGCTCCAGGGTCACAACTGACTAGGGCTGCGACGATAAATCGATTCTGAGATCTTCCGAATGCATCGCGATTCTCTCTGAAATCGATTCTGAGATTAGTTTTTTACAGCAGATGATGCTCTACTCTAGTTTTTATCCGCTCACTCAAATGCTCACGAAGAAGATCGTTCGGCTGAGTCTGTAATTTAATCTCGGCTCAGAATGCTTTTATGATGCTAAACACAGCCCACTGTGAACACCCTTGTAATTCGATTCAACCTTTTCAAATTTTATGAACGATTATTTTAGGTTCAAGTGTGTGTAAGGATTTGGAAATGAGCAGAGTATGGCTGTGTCTAAAGCATGCAGTGTTCAAAACTAAGCTCAGAATCGACTCGAGAAAGAATCGCGATGCATTGGGAGAATCTCAGAATCGATGCTGCATCAGTTCTCGATTCGCGATGCATCGATTTATTTGAGCTCAAAGCACTGATGTTAGTCTGTTTGTGTTCAGACAGGGCCTGTTTGTGCAGTCGGAGATGGAGGACTTCCAGCAGTTGCTATGGCGACTGGGTCAAGCCGGAGGAGTGATGCATCATGGGAATGATCCTCCTGTCCCACAGGAGTTTCACCAGCGCTTCGTCCTGCACTGTCTGGAGAACAGCCTGCAGTACCTGCTCTACTGCTACCTGGAGCACTACAGGTGAGACGCTATATGGCCAAAAAGTTATCACCATACTGTTTTTTTTTCATATCAGTTGATATCGATAATTATCGCGATAAATGTCAAATCTTTATTTATTTCAAGTTTAAGGCCAGATTTTTGCTCCAAAGTGAAAGTTTGTTGAAACCAGACAAAAAATTAGTTTCTGCACGTTCTAATGAGTGACATTGTTTCAAATCAAGAAACAAGTTTGGGTTGCCTGGTAATATTAATAATAATAATATCACTTTTTTGTCTCTTACAAATGCACATTCGATAGTAGCTTGAGTTAGGATGCAGATGTACATTTTTGTTCATTATCAAAATCAGTAACATCTCTAAAAATTGTAGCAACCTCATTTTTATATGGTTAAATTGAATTATTCTGATTTTATTTATTTTTTTATTAATCATTGGTCTCCGATAGTAGCATACATTTAAATCATGATAATCACAGTTAAAACCACACATAGCACCTCAATATATTTTAATATTAGTTATATATTAGTAAATGAACTGTGAACTAACAAACATCATAATTTTTATTAACTTGTATGTGTGTGTGTGTAAATATACTAAAATGTTTAATTATTTGTTTATTTAATCATTTTTGTTTTAGCTTTTGACATTTCAATTTATAATATTATTTTTATTTAATAACATGTTTTAATAAGTTAGTATTTATTAAGTTTTTTGTGAAGCTCTTTTCCATATAAAATTTATTTTGTATATTGTATTATATTAAGTAATGTAATTATTTTTATTCTATTATTTTTTTCTTTTAATTAGATTTTTAAATTTATATTATTATTATTATTCATTTTTATGAAGATCTTTCCAGAAATACAGTGTACATAATTATTAGTTTAATTTCTTATTTTATTTGTTTTATTTAATTATTTTTAATTCATATTATTATTAGTCATACATTTATGAAACTTTTCCATTTAATTTTTTTATTTGTATAACTATTTATAAATTATTTATGAAGCTCTTTTCTGTGAGATGTTTTTCAGCAGGACATTCAGGACTCGTCTCGTCTCATTGTGGATGTGTTTTTCAGGTTAACTCCCAGGAATTGCCCGCTTCTGACCGACAGAAACCTGTTTGAGAGTTTCCCCTGGTTTGAGATGATGCTGAAATTACAGAAAATCACCAGAGACCTTAAAGGTGAGCGTATTTTTATGTGACTGTGGAAATAGTTTTCTAAAACCATAGAACAGCTGTCCGTCAGTTTATCTCAAGACATCTGAAAGATTTTGTGACAGTATCTTAGGTATATAAACTGATGCTTTTAATTTTTCAGTGGAAAATAATTAATTCTTGAAATTAATTTCTTGAAAAATAACCAAATATTTATAGTGTTAAAATAAATATAAGCATTTATCTCAAATTAAATGGAAGTAAT